CTAGCGGAGGCGCCCCCGCCGCCGCCGGCGGTGCCGCGCGGGGCCGGGCCCGGGCCCCGGCCCCGGGGGAGGCGGCCGGGCCGCCCGCGACGGTCAGCTGTCCACCAGCGGCTTGAGCGCGCGCTCGATGTTCATGCGGTGCCCGACGCGCGTCACGCCCAGCTCCACGAAGTCCTCCTTGGTGAGGGCCGGCAGGTGCGTGCCCTCGATCTCGTTGTCCTCGAACTTGTCGCGGTGCTCGGCCAGGTTGATGCTCTCCAGCCAGTCGCCCACGTCGAACTTGTTCCAGAGCTGCAGCGGCTTCTGCATGAAGGGCCGCGGCGGGTGCAGGGGCGGCCCCGGCGAGGGCGACGGCGACGGCGAGCGGCTCCGGGCGCTCACGCTGCGCACCACGAAGCGCACCTCCTTGGGCTCGTGCGGGATGGAGAGGCTGGAAGATTTGAGGATGGTGGGCGGGGTGAGCGCGTAGGGCCGCACCGAGCTCAGCGGGTCTGTCCTGTCCAGGGCGGGCTTCACCGGGCTGGGGGTGCGGCGGGTCACAGGGTAGCGGCTGCCGGGGCGCACGGTGTAGGTGGTGCCAGAGCTGCGCTGGGAAATGGTGCTCAGCTCGCCTAAACTACTGAAAAGTCTGGGGGAGGGGGAGGGGGCAGAGACAGACAGACAGACAGACAGCAGAAGCAGAGGTGAGAGAGGTCCCCAGAAACCGGAGCACGCACACGCACACGCACACACAATCCACATGGGAGAGCAGGGCTGACGTGGGTTCTGCAGAGCCCCGGGGGGCTCCCTCACACCCCATGGCCGTGGGCCCGCTGCCCCTAGCTCCTCTCCGGGCCTCGGCTCCCTCGCTTGCCCTTCCTGGGGAGAACTTGGGCTCCCTTCTCACCAGCTGGACGGCTTCCTTTCAGGCTCCACGGCACCACCGTCCCCAGGCCAGGCGCCCGTCCTCCTTGAGCAGGAGGCCTGCGCTGGATGGCACAGCCGGGGAAAATGCGCCATGGAGGTGTGGCCCTCCCCGAGCGGGGGCTGGGGTCCGGGGTCCCGCTTGGGGGGTATCTCCGCGTGCCCAGAAGGAAGCTCACGCGCTCTGGTGAGCCCTCCAGCTGGTGTGTGCCAAGCGCGAAGCGAGTGGCCCGAGCTGCCGCTGGGGCAACCACGGTCCCCGCTGTGCCGCTTGTGGCTTCTCGGCTGTTGGCCCCGCCGTCCAGGTCGGCCCGGCGGCGCTTGGGGTGCCCTGCAGGAGGTGTGGCCCTGAGCGCCGGGCGGAGGGCGCCATTTCTTTCCTCCGTTTCAGGCACTGCAGATGCCCCTGCTCTGGTCAGCAAAACGGTGAGCTAAGGAGCGGAGCGGGTGGCTATGCTGTGGCGCACAAGGGCTTGCTGAGCCCCAGACGTCCCGCCCCGGCTTCCCGTGTGCCCAGGCCACCCCTCCCCGGGGGCATGGCTCCTCGCTTGCAAGAACTCCTCCGCCCAGCGCGTGCCTCCTGCAGACTCCACTGCACACATCCACGGGACCGAAAGCACCGGCTGCACAACACGCCTCCTGCGGGGGCAAGACGCCCCCCGCCACAAGCGCAGCCTCCCTCTCCGCGGCGGCAAAGCTGAAGAGCTCGCTACCCCGTCGCCTGCCCTGCTCTCTGGGAAGCCTCTGTGCCGCGTCAGGGAGCCCCGGTCCCGGCCAGGCCGCAGGCGCCCATCAGAGCAGAGCGGGAGCCTCGTCACGAGGGCCGTCTCCTCTCTCGGAGACACGCGCTGAAGTGCATCAGAAGCCCGGACGGGGCTCGTGCTGGTGCGGGAGAGGGCAGCTGGCCGTGGGTGAGCGGGCCAGGCTGGACCAGAGAGCCTTGGCTGGGCTGCTTGGAGCTCACACTGCTGCACGGGGCCGGCTGGGCCTGCGGTTCGGGGCTTCTGGCAACGGGGCAGTCCTGCTCCCTGTCGGAAGGGCCACGTGGGGGCAGATGAGCAAGAACCAGCAGTGGAACACGCTGCAGGCCCGTGGATGGGCCACGTGCGGTCTCTGAACCAGCCCAGTGCGTAGAAAAGCTTACTTTACATGTAATTAGAAGAAGAGCGAGAAGAAGAGGAAGAGGAGGGGGAACCACCAGTACCCAGAAAGAAAGCTTGAATAGTTGGCCCAGATCCGAGACTGGAGCCCAGAGTTGATACTTTAAGGCAGGTGCTTTGACTTGACTCAACTCTCCTGAGAGAACGCTTCTTAAAATGGCATGTTCCTTTTAGCGGCTGTGCTGTGCCGGCAGGCGAGATGGTCCCGAAGAGGAGAGCGGGAGAGCAGAAAGGATGGGGTGGGCATCGGTGGGGCCCGGCGGGCCCAGAGCTCTGGGCACGGCTGCCTGGCAAAGCTGGTGGGTGCAGGCACGGCCCCTCCAACGCAGCAAGGAAGCGGCGGGCGCATGCCCACGAGAGCCTGCCCGGCTTGGCTCTTGCTGGCGGGAAGGCTGAGGCGCACGGCCCTGAGGCGCAAGAAAGGCCGCCCCGCCGACACCCCACGTGCCCTTGCTAGCCTGGAGCAAAGGCAAAGCGGCAGGCGGAGTGCCTCACTTTGGAATCACAGCACCATCGAATAGCAGAGGCTGGGAGGGGCCAAGAAGGCCCTCGGGTCCCCCCCGCTGTTCCAGGGCACCAGGTCACACCACCCCCCTCGGAGGGCGGCCCAGTGTCTTTCTGGAGCTGGAGCAGAGGCCTCCTTGGCCAGGCAGGGCCACAGAAGAGCCTGCAGCCTCCCCACTCCCAGAGTCGCCGCAGGCTTGCTGACTCCGTGATGCTCAAGAATAAGGGCAGTCGACTGCCTCTTCATCGTGCCGCCGGTGCACCGCTGGCCTGGGTGTCGCTGCCGTGTGTGCGCGAAGGGCGGTCTGTCCAGACAGTGGCAGCCGGGAGCCCAGACTCGGCTCCGTGGGGGCTGCGACTCCAGCAGAGATGGCAGGGTGGGCAGGCAGCCCCTGGCCGCGTGCCGGGGTCGCTGTGGGCGGCCATGCGTCCGGAGAGCCCGCCATGGGCTCAGAAGGCTGTTCAGCGTTCCTGTTTCCGCTCCTTTAATTGCACACCGAACGATGCGCCGGTCTCTGGCAGAGCCCCACAAGCCACTTCACGGGGTCGCTGTCTGCAAAGGGCCTGGAGTCGGGGGTTGGCCGGACGGGCGCTGCCCCAGGTCGCCCCGTCTGCTGTCCCTCCTTCCCTCCGAGGGCAGACACAGCAGTGCCCCGGACAGCGCCCCGCACCGTGTGACGCTTCTCCAGCCTTCTGGGATGCACCGTGGCACAGCTCCACACAGCCGGGGAGGGGGCGCGCCTCGCCCCTGCCTCTGGCTCTGGCACGGCAGCCGAGGGTCTCGATGCCGGCCTGCAGCTCGCTCCGTGTCTTCGCGCCCACTCTTCAGTCCCGCCAGGCCGGCTGGGCAGGACTCCACGGGAGTGCAGGCGGTTCGGGAGGGGCTCCTACGCCTTGGTGGGGGACTTGGTGCCCCGTGACCGTGGGCTGCTCGTCCCCCGTGAGCGTCCGTCTGCCGGCTGCGAGGCGGGAGCAGGGGTGGTCCAAGCAGGCCTGGGAAGGGGCCCACCCGCACGGGTCCTACGGAGGGGTGCCCCGCGAGCCCGTGCAGCAGTGTGGGGGCGACGCAGCCTGTCGGGCTGTTCTGTGCCGGCCCGTGGCCAGCTGCTCCCTGCCGTCAGCGGCCCTCACACCCGAGCTCCCGCTCGGCCCGGGGGTCTTCAGCTCTAGGAGCACACCGGGACGGTGGAAGGCAGGAGGGCTCCGTGGGCAGGAGCGGCAGCTGAGCGTGGCCGGGCCAGGAAGCCCCAAAGCCTCTCAAGCTGAGAACCGAGTGGGCTGCATCTGGAGGAACTGCACCACCCGGACAGCATTTGCCGCCTGCTCGCAGTGCCCGCCCGGTGCAGCCCGGCAGGCAGGGCCGCTACCCAGCCCGCGTCCCCCCACGCTGCCCTTGATAAAATGGGGGCGAGCCGTTTCCGCACGAAGCCGAGGGGGCACGCAGCACCGTCTGCGCTGAGCAGGGGTCCATCCGAAGGGAAGGAAAATGCCTGGCTGGACCTTGCTTGTGGCACTCGGGACACGCCGCCTGCCACGGAGCTGCGGAGGTTTCCGCCGGCGTGGCCGGGGAGATGCTCTCAGAGCCTGGGCCTTGCCTGCAGGGAGCGTGCCACAGCTCGCTTCTCGAATGGGCTGCAGCAGCCATCGGGGTGCTGGAAGGTGGCCTGCTCTTCCCGTGGGCAGCGGGGGAGTTGGGGCCACGGGCGCCTCCAGACGCCGGAGCTGCTTCAGTGTCAAGTGGGCCCACTCGCCTCCGCCCGAGCTCCGGGGAACCGCGTGGGGAGCCGCGCACCGGCAGTCATCAGCCGGGAGCCACGAGGGGGAGTGGCGCTCCGGTGGCTCTTCCCACGTGCTGCCCCGCCGCACTCTCCGCCTGGCAAGCTGTCGTCTTCCGGCAGGCCTCCGGCTCGCTGGCCGTGTGAGGGGAATGGGCCGTTCTCGGAAGTGAGGGGGACCATGGTGCATGGGAGCAGCAGCAGGTCGAGGGGATGCCGGGCCGCCACATGGGCTGGAGGAGGGGGACGTGTCCCTACCTCAGTGGGTGCCTGCGTGGGCGCAGAAGGGCAGCCGTTCCGGGGCTGGGGGCATTGCCCGGTGGGCTCCCACTTTCCTCGGGAACAGAACCCCCCTGCACCTGCCGCTCACAGGGGCCACCCCTGCCCCTCAAGGCCGGCCCCTGCCTGGCCACCTGGCCTCTCAGAGCGCCCCGGGGGGGGGGGGCGGGTGTCGGGCGGGCCCCAGGACCCGGCCGGGGAAGGGGCCCCACCAGGGGGGGGGGGCAGGGGGCAGAGGTGCCTCTGGTGCAGCGCTCTCCCCAGGGGCTGCATGGGGCCGGGGCCTGGCTGGCAGCACACAGGGTCATGCATGCCACGCACGTGCGCACACGCACTCCGCAGCAGCAGCCCAGGGAGCGCCCGGGCCACGCGCTCACACGACTAGGCCTGCAGGCAGTGCTGGGGGGGTCTGGCCGCTGCACCCCGCCTGGCGCCCTTGCAAAGGGAGTCTGGGTAAGCAGGAACTGCACGAGGCCGGGGGGGGGGGGGGGGGGCACCCTGCGGGGGAGGGGACCCTCAGCCCTAGCCCCGGGTGGGTGGGTGGGTGGAAGGGCGCGAGAGCCGAGGGCTCCGGGCCGCCAGGCTGCACAGACGGCGCTCCGAGTGGCCCAGCAAGCCACGGAGCCAGCGTGGCCCACCCCACAGACCCGCCGCCCCTCCCTGGCACCTGGGGCGGGGCATGGCTGGGATCCAGGCCCTCAAGGTGGGGTGTGGAGCCCCCCCCCACGTGCTCGTGCTCGTTCCCGTTCCCGGAAGCCCGAGGAAGGGAGGTGGCCCGAGGGGCTGGGCCAGGCGCCCCCGCCTCCCTCGCGGGGCTGGCGGGAGCCTCCTCCGGGACTCTGTGGCACACCACATCACGAGACGGGACAGACATGCGGGGCGCGAGGGTGGGGCGGGGCGGGGACGGATCCACACCGCACAGCAAGCGTTGCCCTCCCCCTCCCTGCAGCCCCCGCCATCACACACAGCAGCAGCGGCAGCGGCGGCAGCGGCACAGTCGGGACAGA